CCCCAAAACCCCAAAACCCCAAAACCCCAAAACCCCAAAGAGAGCTAAGATTCTTGAATTAAATATTAATATCAATTTATATAAATGGGGAACACAGAAGCAAAACCCGAATTTGTTTCATTAAACAACCAGATTGTCCTTCAAACAAAAACAAAGGCTTCAGTGACCTTGGAGAATATTAAAGAGGGCACATTGGCAACTTTTTCAAGTATATCTAGTGGAAAGGAGTTATATGATATGTATTTGCCCTTAAAATAAAGCTTCTTTCAAAGTTATCAAACAGAAGGGAAACCAATATATCACAATAAAGTAATCTAGAGTTTATTATCTAGCTAAAGAAATGTTCTTGGCCAAACAAAATTTCAGGATATCATTGATATTTATACCTAAAAGGATGACGATGATGAATAAAAGAATTAAGACCCAATGAAATGAATTAGAAACACTCAAAGATTCTTTACTGAAAGACAAATCTAACAAAAAACTTAAAAAGAAATGGGAGTTTAAGAAATAAAGTTTTAGAAGATTTCCAATATACTTATAATTGCTTTGAAGAATTATTGAATAGAATTGAAGAAACTAAGGAGGTAATTCTGCTAATAAGACAACCCTTTAATTTGTTTATTTAAACCAATAGTATGAAGTCCTACTTTCATTTTACAAATAATTTGCTTCCACTCTTACACCAATAACCAATGATCAGATAATACTTAAGGCAAATTTCATTAAAAAGTGTGTCTCAAAAATATAATTCCTACCAAATAAATTTAGAGGATTTTATTTCTAATTTATACCTAACCAAAGCCTAAGATATCCCGGAAATACAATCTATTTAAGAATTAAGAATACCTGATGAACACGACAGTTTAAGGGTCTTTTGAAGAAATCAAGTAAACAATTTGGGTCCTTAATATAACTGGACGAACTAATATCATAATTAAAGTCTGATAAACTGTAACGCTTCTTCTAAGTATAAGCCTACTGTAACTTACTATTCGTCTTTTCGATATGGGCAGACTACTAAGTTAGTTACTTTATTAGGAACTCTATATAAAACGATTTTTGTATTATTAAAACCAATACTTTTATTATTAACCTTGGAGGAGAAACCCAAACTGCTGCTTCAAAAGCGGTCAATTTTATTAGGTTTCTAATAGAATTACCCAACAGTAGTAATAATTTGGGATATACTTCTGGGTACATTGACTATTTACTTTAGCAAACAACTTTTGAGATTTAAGCATTACCATTAAGCTTTCATTTTAATTCCAGGTTGTTATTTAACCAAAATAAAGAGTTTAATTCCAGATTTAGTTAAGCCATGAGTCCGCTTTATTTTATTTAAATATACTTTTAAATTTTAAACCACAATTCGGACCCCTTTCTATCTATTTTTCTGGACTAAAGTAAGGCAACTCACTTAAATTGATTTACTCAGGGATTTCTAAAAATTTATAAACAAATGAGAGCTGCTTCTTGAATACCTGAAGTTTCCTTATTTTATGACAGCTAAAGATAATCATTAAGCATAGATTTCTTTTATCCTAAAGGCGACTTGGGTTTACTAGAATATTTAAAGTAATATTGTGTATTTCTGAAGCACATTTAATTTAGCTGAATTCATCCCTGTTCTAAATATTCTAGAAGCATTCGTAATTATCAAAGCTAATCTGGAATTAAGTGTATGATGTATTATAGTCTGGAAACGATCAATTACTTAACCATTGAGACCTACTATTTTTAGAGTTCTTAGACATTCGACTAAAACCTCATGCATATTACATCATCAAATTAGTATGATGGATTATAGATTCTAGATCTTCAATAATTTTCGAATTTTCATAGTTGAAACATCTTTTCTGTAAAAGGTTCGACCAGTGATCCAATTTAATTTAAAAAGCATGAATGCTTAAATAATGAAGTAAATACTGAAAAATATTTAAATCTAAAACTGATCTTCAATGTGAAGGTTGCTTCGCCTTCTTCACTAGCTTATTTTAGTCATGGAAGCTCCATAACATATGTTAGAAAATTAGCAAACCATTGCATTTAGTGGTTTAGCTGATGTCAGTAGTTATTGTAATTCTTTGCCTTGTTGGCAATTGTTTTGGCTAAAAGATACAATTTGACTCCCTTTCTAGCTAAATGCTTCTTGCCATACTTTTAGATTACTCTAAGGTAAATCTATCGTATAAAACAGTAAAAGCTAATTTCAATTGCTCTTCATTGATGCTGATAATTGGCACAATATTTTTGTCTGCTCTTTGGTAGAGCCTTTCCTTATTAGCAAAAGATAAGTTTAAGACTAATTTAAATTAACTGCACTGATGCCACTAAAGTCTCTTATCCCTCATTAATATTTTCGTGAGCTTCGCTTATTTAACTTCTAGATGAGCAACCTTTCAAGCCAACTTTTAGAGCTTAATGAATTGGATTTTCAGAAACGAGCACCAGAGGCAAAACTTCTTGATTCTAACATGCCTTTAGTTGTGAGTTATTTTCCATTTTAATTTTCCTCTTGAGAAGTTTGTTTTATAAATTAATTTGTTAACTTTTCAGAAATCTTAAAAATTGAGTATGTCTTGACATGATCCAGCCAAGGATTCAGAAATCAATTTTTCCACTCTTAGTCTGATTCCAGCAGTTTAGATTCTATTCTTAAATTCTAAACTAGACTCCATATTCCAAAGGTCAGACCCAGTTTTATCTGAATCAGTCCGAGGGTTTTAACCCAGTCCTAAATGCTTGCGAGGCCCAAACTTTGCTGGCGAATCCTGAAGTCGTTTAATTCTCTTGCATGGAGAACCGATTGTTGCCATTAAATAGTCCATTTCTGTAAAAAGAGTGAGAATCATAGAATCTATGAAAAAAGAACATAAAGAGAGCATATTAAGCTAAATAATTTGGCTAGTGCCAAATTTTGCTAATATATATGCAGTTATTTATATATCTAACCATAAATCAATTTTGTTACCCTTTATAATACCTAAGAAAGTTATCCAATTTTGTTATGAAATACAGTATAATTTATAATATTATTCTGTGGTTTGTTTTATCAATGTAGCATTGTAAAACTGCACTCCTATGTTTAGCATTCCAGTTGAACTCTAAAAAATTGTTCTACTAGAAATTCTTTATTTTACAAGACACATATTCAGAACTATTAATATTAGATTTTCAAGCTTAAATTGCTTTCATCTAAACTTCTTTTCTACATATTTCTTGAGATGCTAACTATTAATGGAAAAGATAAAAATAAATAACCCATTTATTTCAAAGAGCAAAAGACCAGCTGCTTTCTTGAACTCAGTGTACATCAATTACAAGTCGTAAAATATAATGAAGTAGAGTTTGGTTCATTTAAATCATTAAAACAACTCTCATCTGCTAAAACCGAACACTAATCGATTCCTTATCGTAAATACTTTAAATGCAGAATTCTGATTTCATAAGGCATAAGCTTTGTGTGGTCGAAAGTTATTTTAATATTATTGAGAGAAAAAGTAATAGTAAAACAAACAGTCTCTGAACTCGGCATTCCTTACTCTTCCAAATATTATTAGTTGGTTGTTAAGGTTAAACTTCAAGATATTCCTTTGAAATATGTCAAAGAATAGCTGCCTTGCTATCCTAAAGAAGCATTACTAAAATTATTGCAATATGCCTACAGTAAAGACACTTTACCCATACCAAGCCATTATTTCTTGAAAGAAGTTAAAAGCTTCTAACATTGATCAGGGCTTGCTAAAGGATTAATTTGATATATTTTAGCTCTAACTCTGTCTAACATCAATTAGACTTCAAAGTGTGATCTAACATTAAAATAGGGAGACTCAAACCAGAGTAACTCCTCAAGTGATGAAGGTAAGCCAAGTTTATTTTACATCAAAGTATATATTTTGGGTACAATAAGGCTTTTGCCAGAATTGATAACCAAACCCTAACATTGTCTTTGAGATCAATATTGAAATTAGTTTAAAAACACTTAGAATATTGTTTAACTGACTTATCAAGAACAGACGTTTTAAGAATATACCAATTTGAATGTAATCGATTGCTTAGATATTTATTCCGAGAAGCAACATGAATTCCACTCTTAATTTATAATCTGGTCTATCCTACGCTCTGATCCTGCTGACTTATTTCATAGATTCTTCAAATTCATTGCCAAGGTTGCCAGAAAATAGAAATAAGTCTAAAGTTGAGGAATCATACATTATCGATCTCTTAGAAAGGTACAATGAAAGAGCTTCATTAGTTATAAGAGAAGACAGAGTCCTTGACCTTGATTTATCTGAAAGGGAAGATATCAAAGCTTTCATAAATATCAACAATGAACTCTAAGCGGTCTTATCATGCATGATCTAGAAGTGATCAAACTAGACTTTATTAATGAGAAGCAAGAGGATAACGTTATCTGTAAGTAATCTTAATTCATGTCTAAACCCTTATTTAGTCTTTATTAAATGCCTGTTCCCACAAGTCTGAAACGAACTGTTCTTAAGAAGTGAGAGATTAAATCGCATAAAATTCGTACCTAATTTGGAAGAATGAGCTCCGAATGTTCTCAGAAAACTAACTTTGGGGCATTATGACATTGGCTCAGGTGACTTAAAATCAATAGGTAAGAGAGTGTCCATATATGATTTGGCTTTCCTTTGAATCCAATAATATTGCCATTTCAGGTAAACCAATTTGAACAATTTTTTGGAGATAGATCTGTAAATTAAACTATATAGTCAACTACTTCCATCACGTAGATGAAATGCATTTTCTAGAATGAAAAATTGACAGTGAATCTGTGTATTTTAGCAGCACATTAACATTCAAAATAAAAAAGCTTTGTTTCAGGAATACAGGGGGAGAATCATATAGTGGCTGGCTGAATAATCCGAAACAACTCAAAGGTCTTCTAAAAGCTATAAAAAAATCAAAATGGAATAGTTTTACAACTTTTGAAGAAACTGGAAGTTACATACCTAGTTTTGAAATTTCTGAAATGTTTTCAAAGCGAGGGCTTGGACATATAGAAATTATTCAAAACACATAAGCCAAATTGGCAAATAGTATATCTACAATACGTTAATATTAAAGTAAGGTTTAAAGCTTAATTTCTTTTGTCAATATATGCCATCTATCTTATATTTTATCATTAAAGTCGTCAAAAACCACAACTAATTCCTAATATTTATTAATTGTTGTTCTAAGCCAAGAACAAGATTAAATAATTGAGGTTGACTCTTGTTTAAAATATCCTTCATTTTTAGGTTTGAGATATGTAATTTGCTCACTAATAAATCATATAAAAAATAATTCGGATGTTTAAAATTACATGTGAAAGTTTATATCTCCGAATTTCTAAAAGCTATAAAGTCAATTTTAACTTGAGGAATAGGGGTTTTGGGGTTTTGGGGTTTTGGGGTTTTGGGGTTTTGGGGTTTTGGGG